ATAGGCAGGTGGTCCCTGTAGACAGGTGGTCACTATAGGCAGGTTGTTATATAGAAAACACCACTTAGGGTAGACATAATATAGTAAGCATAGGCAGGTGGTCCCTGTAGACAGGTGGTCACTATAGGCAGGAAGTTATAATTTACACAGAAAGCACCACCAAGGAAAGACTTAATATGGTAAATAAAGGCAGGTGTTCCCTTTAGACAGATGGTCACTATAGACAAGTTGTTTTATAGAAAACACCACTTAGAGTAGGCTTAATATAGTATTTATAGGCAGGTGGTCCCTGTAGACAGGTGGTCACTATAGGCAGGAAGTTACAACTTATACAGAAAACACCACCAAGGGAAGACTTAATATGTAATATCAAAGTTTACTTTCTACACAATGTACATATTAAACATGTTGCAATATGTTTCAAGACAAACTGGTCCCTTTGTCAAGCTATGATCTTATTGAAGATATTAGACTTAACATGTTAATTATAGGTAGGTGGTCCTTGTAAACAGGTGGTTACTATAGACAGGAAGTTATACAGAAAACACCACTATGGGTAGACTTAATATGGTTATTAATTTCTGTATAGGGCTATATATCCTAGTCTAACTGTATAGGGCTATATATCCTAGTCTAACTGTATATGGCTATATATCCTAGTCTATATATCCTAGTCTAACTGTATAGGGCTATATATCCTAGCCTAACTGTATAGGGCTATATATCCTAGTCTGTATATCCTAGTCTATATATCCTAGTCTATATATCCTAGTTTATATATCCCAGTCTAACTGTAAAGGGCTATATATCCTAGCCTAACTGTATAGGGCTATATATCCTAGTCTATATATCCTAGTCTAACTGTATAGGGCTATATATCCTAGCCTAACTGTATAGGGCTATATATCCTAGTCTATATATCCTAGTCTAAATATCCTAGTCTATATATCCTAGTTTATATATCCTAGCCTAACTGTATAGGGCTATATATCCTAGTCTATATATCCTAGTTTATATATCCTAGTCTAACTGTAAAGGGCTATATATCCTAGTCTAACTGTAAAGAGCTATATATCCTAGTCTATATATCCTAGTTTATATATCCCAGTCAAACTGTAAAGGGCTATATATCCTAGTCTAACTGTATAGGGCTATATATCCTAGTCTATATATCCTAGTCTAACTGTATAGGGCTATATATCCTAGTCTATATATCCTAGTCTATATATCCTAGTCTATATATCCTAGTTTATATATCCTAGTCTAACTGTATAGGGCTATATATCCTAGTCTATATATCCTAGTCTATATATCCTAGTCTAACTGTATAGGGCTATATATCCTAGTCTATATATCCTAGTCTATATATCCTAGTCTAACTGTATAGGGCTATATATCCTAGTCTATATATCCTAGTCTATATATCCTAGTCTAACTGTATAGGGCTATATATCCTAGTCTATATATCCTAGTCTATATATCCTAGTCTAACTGTATAGGGCTATATATCCTAGTCTATATATCCTAGTCTATATATCCTAGTCTAACTGTATAGGGCTATATATCCTAGTCTATATATCCTAGTCTATATATCCTAGTCTATCTGTATAGGGCTATATATCCTAGTCTATATATCCTAGTCTATATATCCTAGTCTATATATCCTAGTTTATATATCCTAGCCTAACTGTATAGGGCTATATATCCTAGTCTATATATCCTAGTCTATATATCCTAGTCTATATATCCTAGTTTATATATCCTAGTCTAACTGTATAGGGCTATATATCCTAGTCTATATATCCTAGTCTATATATCCTAGTCTAACTGTAAAGGGCTATATATCCTAGTCTATATATCCTAGTCTATATATCCTAGTCTAACTGTATAGGGCTATATATCCTAGTCTATATATCCTAGTCTATATATCCTAGTCTAACTGTATAGGGCTATATATCCTAGTCTATATATCCTAGTCTATATATCCTAGTCTAACTGTATAGGGCTATATATCCTAGTCTATATATCCTAGTCTATATATCCTAGTCTAACTGTATAGGGCTATATATCCTAGTCTATATATCCTAGTCTATATATCCTAGTCTAACTGTATAGGGCTATATATCCTAGTCTATATATCCTAGTCTATATATCCTAGTCTAACTGTATAGGGCTATATATCCTAGTCTATATATCCTAGTCTATATATCCTAGTCTAACTGTATAGGGCTATATATCCTAGTCTATATATCCTAGTCTATATATCCTAGTCTAACTGTAAAGGGCTATATATCCTAGTCTATATATCCTAGTCTATATATCCTAGTCTAACTGTATAGGGCTATATATCCTAGTCTATATATCCTAGTCTATATATCCTAGTCTAACTGTATAGGGCTATATATCCTAGTCTATATATCCTAGTCTATATATCCTAGTCTAACTGTATAGGGCTATATATCCTAGTCTATATATCCTAGTCTAACTGTATAGGGCTATATATCCTAGTCTATATATCCTAGTCTATATATCCTAGTCTAACTGTATAGGGCTATATATCCTAGTCTATATATCCTAGTCTAAATATATAGGGCTATATATCCTAGTCTATATATCCTAGTCTAACTGTATAGGGCTATATATCCTAGTCTATATATCCTAGTCTATATATCCTAGTCTAACTGTATAGGGCTATATATCCTAGTCTATATATCCTAGTCTAAATATATAGGGCTATATATCCTAGTCTATATATCCTAGTCTAACTGTATAGGGCTATATATCCTAGTCTATATATCCTAGTCTATATATCCTAGTCTAACTGTATAGGGCTATATATCCTAGTCTATATATCCTAGTCTAAATATATAGGGCTATATATCCTAGTCTATATATCCTAGTCTAACTGTATAGGGCTATATATCCTAGTCTATATATCCTAGTCTATATATCCTAGTCTAACTGTATAGGGCTATATATCCTAGTCTATATATCCTAGTCTAAATATATAGGGCTATATATCCTAGTCTATATATCCTAGTCTAACTGTATAGGGCTATATATCCTAGTCTATATATCCTAGTCTATATATCCTAGTCTAACTGTATAGGGCTATATATCCTAGTCTATATATCCTAGTCTAAATATATAGGGCTATATATCCTAGTCTATATATCCTAGTCTAACTGTATAGGGCTATATATCCTAGTCTATATATCCTAGTCTATATATCCTAGTCTAACTGTATAGGGCTATATATCCTAGTCTATATATCCTAGTCTAACTGTATAGGGCTATATATCCTAGTCTATATATCCTAGTCTATATATCCTAGTCTAACTGTATAGGGCTATATATCCTAGTCTATATATCCTAGTCTAAATATCCTAGTCTAACTGTATAGGGCTATATATCCTAGTCTATCTGTATAGGGCTATATATCCTAGTCTATATATCCTAGTCTAACTGTATAGGGCTATATATCCTAGTCTATATATCCTAGTCTATATATCCTAGTCTAACTGTATAGGGCTATATATCCTAGTCTATATATCCTAGTCTATATATCCTAGTCTAACTGTAAAGGGCTATATATCCTAGTCTATATATCTTAGTTTATATATCCTAGTCTAACTGTAAAGGGCTATATATCCTAGTCTAACTGTATAGGGCTATATATCCTAGTCTATATATCTTAGTTTATATATCCTAGTCTAACTGTAAAGGGCTATATATCCTAGTCTATATATCCTAGTCTAACTGTATAGGGCTATATATCCTAGTCTAACTGTATAGGGCTATATATCCTAGCCCAAATGTATGTTGCTTTATATTCTAATCTATATGTATGGGCTACATTTCCTAGTCTAACTGCATTGTGCTTTATATCCAAGCCTAACTGCATGTTGTTTTATATACTAGCCTAACTGCATGGTGCTACATATTCAAGCCTTACTGATATAGTGCTTTACTAAAACTGGGTAGACGTTAAATCTTAGCCTTTAATGCATGTTGCTGTATATCCTAACCTTTAATGCATGTTGCTGTATATCCTAACCTTTGATGCATGTTGCTTTATATCCTTGTCTAACTGAATAGTGCTTTATGTTCTTGCCTAACTGCATGCTTTTGTTTGTTTTCTTTTTTCCTTACTCCTTTCCCTCCTGTGGGGTTCAGACATAGAATACATGTTGAGCTTTATCTCGGAAGATCGTGGGCATGGTTCAGCCAATGGAAGCAATCAGGGTAACCGTTCCCGGAGCCGAGATCGAGCGGAGTCGGGCTCCACCACTACTACAGAGGATGAGAATGCCATCCTAAATAGGCTGCAGGTATGACCTACTTTGTAGCGAGTTGCTCAGCTGTATTCTTTCCTTATTACATCAGATAGATATATCATTACGATACATTTGGCTAATGTATCTGTTACATATCTTTGCTGTATAATACATTTTTTGCTCAACTGTTAAAAAAAAAATCAAGGAGAACTTATGCCATATTGTGGCGTCCGTCTGTCTGTTTGTCAGCATTTCCATCTAAAAAAACTTCTTCTTCTGAACCTCTGATTGGAATTTCACCAAATTTGACTGGAGGCTTCCTAATTAGGTAGTGGGGAGTCAGAAGTATACCAATTGATGGACTAACTGCAGGAGGGCTGAGATGTGGGGCCTCACGGATGATTTGGCCATATTGCTTGAAACAATTTCTGTTTTAAAACTATGAGACGAATATCTTAGAAGGTGGGGATTCAAATTTGTGTAAACAGTGGGGCTGACCCCCCCTGGGAGCTAAGGGGCAAGGTCAGAAAGAGTAATTAGGCTATTTTGCTTAAAGCGTTTTTTTCTCTGGAACTAAGATATGAACCATATTTGGTTGGAAGCATTCTCAGGTGTTGGGGGTATACAAAATAGTGCAAATGAGGGGCTGTGGGGCAGGGGCAAAGAAATAAATTTGTCATACTGCTTTAAGTGACTTCTCTGAAATTGTGTGATTTCTATCAGCCATATTGGGTTGGAACTATCATCAGGTGGTGAAGATTCAAAATTGTAAAAATTGTAAAAAGATCTCCATCCTTTGACCATATATATACAATTGATGGTTAAAAATTAAGAGATGAATATGTACACATATGATACCGAGATGGCCTGGCATGCGGCCCTGACCCTGGATACATTGTTCCTCAGTCATAGCTTTGAGATGGTTGAGATGCCAAGAAGATAATCATTGATACAATTGCTGGGTACAAAGAGACAAACACAATTGTGATATCGGAATTGGCCATGGAGTCTATCCCCAGCTGAAGGGAATGTGTACCTGGTTGTAACTTGGAAACATTTCAGATCCCCACACTATAACAATAAAAAACAAACATGATCTTAACCCTTTCACCCCAATGTAACTTTAGTAGACTCTGCCATGCATTGATATGGATGAGTCCATTATGGTCTACAGTGGTGAAAGGGTTAACTGACACATCTAAACTGAAGTTATATTCTTTACTTACAGCATTATAAAGACCTGTTTGTTGGTAACAGTCCAGAAAATCATTCACCGGTAGATAGGAGCTCAGCCACTAGAGGGCGCCCTCCTCGCCACCCCAGACGACAGTTTGGCGAACACCTAGCACTTCGCCAAAATAAAAGTCGCAAGAAGACCGACCACAGACGTCAAAACAATGACCTAGCTTTAGAAGGCAATGCTTTTAGTAATCTTACTCTCAGAGATCTCATTTAAACATATAAGGTGAAAAGATTTCCTAGAAATAATAGGAAATCAAACAATATTTTAATGTGTACATGAACTAGACAAGGATGAAATGTGTCAAAATGTGTGTTTTAAGACAAGTTTTTCAATGCAAGAATTGTTTTCCCTTAAAGCTATTCAAGTTAGGTTTAATGAAATTAGAATATTTTATCAGAAATTCTTGTTGTAAATATGTTAAGCTGAACAGATACATGTACATCTGTTTCCAATGGTTTCAGGCCAAAGCAATACAATTACTTTGTATAACAAAGACAGTGATCGGCTGTACTGTAATTATAGTATGTACAGTGGCTGTACTGTAATTATAGTGTGTACAGTGGCTGTACTGTAATTACCGTGTGTACTGTAATTATAGCGTGTACAGTGGCTGTACTGTAATTATAGTATGTACAGTGGCTGTACTGTAATTATAGTGTGTACAGTGGCTGTACTGTAATTACAGTATGTACAGTGGCTGTACTGTAATTATAGTGTGTACAGTGGCTGTACTGTAATTATAGTATGTACAGTGGCTGTACTGTAATTATAGTGTGTACAGTGGCTGTACTGTAATTATAGTATGTACAGTGGCTGTACTGTAATTATAGTGTGTACAGTGGCTGTACTGTAATTATAGTATGTACAGTGGCTGTACTGTAATTATAGTGTGTACAGTGGCTGTACTGTAATTATAGTATGTACAGTGGCTGTACTGTAATTATAGTGTGTACAGTGGCTGTACTGTAATTATAGTGTGTACAGTGGCTGTACTGTAATTATAGTGTGTACAGTGGCTGTACTGTAATTATAGTGTGTACAGTGGCTGTACTGTAATTATAGTGTGTACAGTGGCTGTACTGTAATTATAGTGTGTACAGTGGCTGTACTGTAATTATAGTGTGTACAGTGGCTGTACTGTAATTATAGTGTGTACAGTGGCTGTACTGTAATTATAGTGTGTACAGTGGCTGTACTGTAATTATAGTGTGTACAGTGGCTGTACTGTAATTATAGTGTGTACAGTGGCTGTACTGTAATTATAGTGTGTACAGTGGCTGTACTGTAATTATAGTGTGTACAGTGGCTGTACTGTAATTATAGTGTGTACAGTGGCTGTACTGTAATTATAGTGTGTACAGTGGCTGTACTGTAATTATAGTGTGTACAGTGGCTGTACTGTAATTATAGTGTGTACAGTGGCGGTACTGTTATTATAGTATGTACAGTGGCTGTACTGTAATTATAGTATGTACAGTGGCTATACTGTAATTATAGTATGTACAGTGGCTGTACTGTAATTATAGTGTGTACAGTGGCTGTACTGTAATTACGTGGAATAACACAGGGTCATTAATTTACCATTTTGTTGATATATGATTTACATAATTATAACTATGTTCATATATGGTGCATTGTGATATTAGGAGTATATTTTGTCAACTATTTTTGTAAAAATAATTGTAAAATGTACAGGATCATTGAATTTGTTCAGAACACTTTGTTTAGAACACTTCCAGAGCTCAAAGCTTCATGTATCAGCTTATAAGTCATGTTATCAACTAGAAATGGCAACAAGAAATTGTGGGCAGAATTCTTCATTATATTGTAGCTTTTGAAGCTGTCAGTACTATGTGCAATTTAGCTTGTTATAAATAATACCATGATTTTGAGATCTTAAATTTGTAATACATACTCTGAGCTAAAACTATAACATGTGTAGTCTGGATAATACATATATGTACAAATGTACTGGATAATACATATACATATGTACTGGATAATACACACATTATTCCTGCAAGCATTATTCCTTCAAACCGAAAGAGGCGATTAAGTGTGGACCCCCTGCTGTGACTGTGATATCCACTGCAGAATTGAGAGGCGACTTATGAGGGCATTCCGAGGAAATTGAGATTTTACACATTTACCGGGCCAGATCCCCACATGCACATGTTCCACGTTTTTGATATCTCGTTCCTTCTTTCTGGTGCTTATCTCTCCTTGACTCACTTTATGTGATAGTGCATCTTGCGCAAGAATAGGTCCTCTACATCAGCGTTCCTTGTCCGCGATGTTCTCAGCTTAATTGCTGCCTTCGGCTGTCTTTAGCCGAGGGAACTATTGGTGATATAACTAAGGTGGCATGAAAACTATATATTTATATGAAAAATAATTGAATTCCTAATATTTTTTTAATCCAAAAGTTGCTCTTCCTTTTAAAATTATTGACTGACTTCCAATAACTTTGTAGACAAATATGTAACTATTATTGTTTGTTTCTGTAATTTTCTTATAACAAGGTTGTTGTATTATATTGTTGACATAAGCTGTGATATTGTTGACATAAGCTGTGATATATAGTCACTTAAACAGTATTTGTTTTAAAAGATTGTGATTTTCAGTCTACCTGTATTATTAAAATGACAATCAATGTTATTGACAGGAAACTTTATCATTGAAACTATGTTCTTCTTTCTGCTGAAACATCTGTGATAGTTCTAGTAAATGTGATTGATATGTGTCCTAGTATATAATATGGCGTAGGGGAACTGGACCGGGTTGATTGTCAGCGACCAGGGTCCCTATTCATGAAACCATTCTTGTGCTCAAGCCTGGATGCTGTGCTCATACCAACTTTCTTGTAACTCTATTAAAAGTGTGTAAGGCATTAAGTGCATCATAGTCCAAGTAAATGTGTCGCCTGGTGTGCGTCACCTGTGGTAGTCAAGTAAATGTGTCGCCTGGTATGCGTCACCTGTACATGTGGTAGTCAAAGTAAATGTGTAGCCTGGTATGCGTCACCTGTGGTAGTCAAAGTAAATGTGTAGCCTGGTATGCGTCACCTGTGATAGCAAAGTAAATGTGTCGCCTGGTATGCGTCACCTGTGGTAGTCAAAGTAAATGTGTCGCCTGGTATGCGTCACCAGTGATAGTCCAAGTAAATCTGTTGCCTGGTATGCGTCACCAGTGATAGTCCAAGTAAATGTGTCGCCTGGTGTGCGTCACCAGTGATAGTCACAGAAAATGTTGCCTGGTATGTGTCACCAGTGATAGTCAAAGTAAATGTGTCACCTGGTATGTGTCACTAGTGATAGTCACAGTAAATGTGTCGCCTGGTATGCATCACCTGTGGTAGTCATAGTAAATGTGTCGCCTGGTATGCGTCACCAGTGATAGTCACAGTAAATGTCGCCTGGTATGTGTCACCAGTGATAGTCACAGTAAATGTCGCCTGGTATGTGTCACTAGTGATAGTCACAGTAAATGTGTCGCCTGGTATGCGTCACCTGTGGTAGTCAAAGTAAATGTGTCGCCTGGTATGCGTCACCTGTGATAGTCAAAGTAAATGTGTCACCTGGTATGCGTCACCTGTGGTAGTCAAAGTAAATGTGTCGCCTGGTATGCGTCACTTGTGGTAGTCAAAGTAAATGTGTCGCCTGGTGTGCGTCACCAGTGATAGTCAAAGTAAATGTGTCGCCTGGTATGTGTCACCAGTGATAGTCATAGTAAATGTGTCGCCTGGTATGTGTTTCTAGTGATAGTCATAGTAAATGTGTCGCCTGGTATGTGTCACCAGTGATAGTCTTAGTAAATCTGTCGCCTGGTATGTGTCACCAGTGATAGTCATAGTAAATGTGTCGCCTGGTATGCGTCACCTGTGGTAGTCAAAGTAAATGTGGCGCCTGGTGGGCGTCACCTGTGATAGTCAAAGTAAATGTGTCGCCTGGTATGTGTCACCAGTGATAGTCATAGTAAATGTGTCACCTGGTATGTGTCACTAGTGATAGTCATAGTAAATGTGTCGCCTGGTATGCATCACCTGTGGTAGTCAAAATAAATGTGTCGCCTGGTGTGCGTCACCTGTGGTAGTCAAAGTAAATGTGGCGCCCGATACAGTACTTGTTATCTAGTCAAACCGTTCAGTGTTATACTATAAGTGTTTGATGTCAGCATTACTAGAAGCTCACTGTGATAACTGTCTGACTAGTATATGTTTGCCCTTGCTGCTGTAGTTTAATTATCTTGATTCTCCATTTGATTGATTTCTAAGTTTTGAGATGAATACGTTATGTATCCTCGCTTCAAACATACTCTCTTTCCCATGTGTTCTTTTGACATTTTATGTTTCATAAATGTAAACCAATTTTTTTTTCTTCTAATTTTCACATGTATCTATAATTTTCTGTGTTGAAAAGATTTGAAAAACTACATTCAAATGATTTTTGCTGTTGAGGGCCTCTGTTCTTCAGCTTTGCCACTGTTTCCTCAAGTTATTAGGTAAACAACTACTACCATGTTGTGCACGTATAACAACTGTCAGATGTTGGCTGAAATTTTAAAGGAACGCTTGCTGCTATTGGCTGAAATTTTAAAGGAACGCTTGCTGCTATAATTTTTTTTTTGGATCTAAACACCAAGATTGTAGTTGGAAGATGACTGTTGTGAACATTTGTAGTAAATGGTTAAAAGAAATGAAGATTTAAGGTAGAAAGGGTGCAGTGAGTGTGTGTATGTGGGGGATGGTAGAGGGGGCATCAGTTAGATGGTGATGAGGGAATGGGGCATCAGTTAGATAATTGGAGGGGGGGG